GCGTAAACTGTCATGTAAGGTGGCATGTAGTCTTTACTTTGTCCCGTTGTTTGCGTATACCCTGAAACGAAATGTGTATGGTCTCCTCCTACCTCAGTGTTATCCAAGTAACAATTTATAGCAAACTGAACGTTGTCTTTAACATCATATCCTTTACCTTTTGTCATTCCTGTCCAATCCCAATATTTATGCCTATGCCCACCTTCTCGAGATGTAGTTAAACTTACGTAGTGACTGTGCGCAGGTAAATTTTCACCTGAAATCGTTTTACTTCCTCCTGTTTCCTTTGAAGAGTTTGCACAATACAAAAACCTGTCAACTATTTGTTCCCATGCACCAACACCAAACATTACTTGAGGACCTCTTGCATCCATAGATGTATAAATAGAACCTACTGGGTTCATTAAATCAAACATATGAGATATTATAGGATTGTCTCTTTTGAACTTAAGATATAGTGTAACTATTTCAGGTTTCTTCTGGTTTGTGTCAGAATATTTTTTATAATATAATCTTATGTTTTCAGGGTAGGTAAAATCTTGACTATAATATTTATTTCTGTCATCTTCATAATAGTATACTATTCTCGTTTTTTCTATTGCATTATATCTTTTATATCTATAAAAATCTAAATATAATGTTAGCTTTTGTTCATCTACATGTGGTGTTCTGTTGTCATCTCCATAGTCATAATAGTATGGTGCTGGAGATGGGTCAGGCAATGTCATATCTGTCATTTCATAAACTCGGAAATATTTCTTTTGTTCGTCTCCATATAAGTTTAAGTAGCAGTTGTTGTCTAATGGAACTTTAACTTGTGTACCATCGTTCTTTTTATAGCTTACATACATTTCATTGTTATTTTTCGGAATGAGTTTATACCGTATACCATTTTTTAAGGAATGTACAAACTGCCATCTAAAATATTTGTTTTCTTCATTGAAAGAAAAGTCACCAACAATAGTTTCAATATTTTTTGTTCCAACTAAACTTTGGTATATTTCATTGACATATGTTTTATCTGCTTTATTTTCAAGGCTAACGTTTAAGTCTGTTATTTCAGAAGATGTATGTGTATGTCCAACGTCACTTTTACTGTTTAAGGTTTCTTGTAAGTTTGCAATATTTGCAATGGTATGTGTATGTCCAACGTCACTTTTACTGTTTAAGGTTTCTTGTAAGTTTGCAATATTTGCAATGGTATGTGTATGTCCAACGGCACTTTTCCTGTTTAAGGTTTCTTGTAAGTTTGTTATTTCAGATATAGTATGTGTATGAGTCTTTTTAGAATATTCGTTTTCAGCTCTTGTCACTTCACTTGACATTTTATTGTCAACATATGTTTTGTCTGCTAGTTCAGGATGAGTATGTTCTTTTGTTGCATAAGCTTTGTTAGCTCTTTCTTCTTCTTTTGCTATTGCATCGTCTACATATTCTTTGTCAGCTTTGTTGCCAACATCTGCTTTCAAAAGAAGTTCTTTTATAGGTTTCTCGTTTAAAGTTCCTTTTGTTGGATTTATACAAACAGTATGGTTCTTATTGTCTTGAAACAGAAACTCATCTGTCATTGGGTTTAATGTCAGTTTTAAGTTTCCTTCTTTCAATGACTCAGATATCTTAGAATAGTTTGAAAAGTTTGTTGTGTTCTTATTTAGAGCTTGTATAATGAGTTGTCGGTTGTGTTGTATTTCTCTCATAGACGCTGTTTCATTTGACATTTTTATTCTAGATAAAATATGCTTCCAATAGAAAAAGAAAATTCAAGAGTTGCTACAACTAAACCATTAGATGAACTTTTTACTAATGTCGGTCAAAAGTTTGAGACAGAGACCGTAAAGCATGAAGGCTATCGTTTTGACTACCCATTAAGATGGTTAAGAGACCCATCCGTCACAAAAGCTATTGGCTTTCGTAGAATGAAGTTCATTTCAGAAGCCATACATGGTTTCCCATTTACAGTCGGTTTTGAAGTTCGATACTATAACAAAGAAAAACATACGTATGAGAAATTTGAACAGGGAAAACTTTTACAAGTGAATTTGCTTGTAAACTTAGAAACAACTCTTCAAGCTTTTCAAGAAAAAATAAACGACATCTATATCGAATATGCAAACCAGTATAACATTGACGAGGGAGAGTACCATCTCGATATTATATATGACAGGAAAAATGCAACTGTTAAAATCAATAGAATAGAAGACCTTGGAGAAAACGTTTATATTTCTACAAAATATAACAACTTGGCATGGTATAGATTTATGAGGATGTTAAATCAGCCTGCAGAATATCCAGTACACCCGGACTTTTATGAAGTCGAAAACCCTAATGGAACATATGAAAATGTTTTCGACTCAGATGCTATTATAGTTCATGCTTCATTTTCTGGTGCACAAAACTCTTTTTTATGCTTGGCAAATGACTTTTACGAAAAACCTACAAAGCTATATGAACCACCAAGTGGAAGTATTTCAGACTTTCAAGTATGGTTTACAACAGATGGAAGAAAAAGAATAATTCCATTATACCATGCGTTTTACTTAGAACTTAGTTTCATATACAACTACTATCGAACGGTAAAAATATAATTTTTTAATACGGTTGAGGTGTTGGATTTGGTTGCCAACTAGACTGTGGTGCAGGTTCAGGCTGTTGTATAACAGGAGCTTGTTCTTCTGGTTCAGGGTCTTTAGGTATAATACCAACGAACTGACCTACTCTTTTACCAATATTTTTGACTCCGTTCCAAATTCCTCTTCCTACGGTTTTTATTCCATTCCATATACCTCTTCCAACTCTTCTGAAGAAGTTTCCAATACTACTGAAGAAACCCATTTTACTATATGTAAAAATCTAATGTCCGCCTAGTCTCTTACGTTTCCTGTTGAGTTCCATAGCATTCTTTAACTGGAGCTCATACATTCTGTTTCTCCTCTGGTAGAAAACATATTCTGGGTCAACTCCTGTGTTCGCGTCATCTGCATAAAGTTGTTTATATCCCACTTCAGGGTTTGTATAAAACTCTTTCCATCTCATATTTGCATACCATGGTGGCAAACCTAACGCAGCGTCATTTGACATGGCAGTTTGCATTTGTACATCTGTTGGCACTTGACCATAGTTTGCCATTGCAGTTTGTATTCTAACTTCATTTGGAATATTCTCTGGGTTTGGTTGTCCAGGTTGCTGTGCATTCGCTAAGTTCTGTGCGTCCATTTAATATTAGATAAAAATATCTCTTACGAGTACATATGCTGAACATTTGCAGGCATTGGTTCATCTTCATATTCTCTGTACTTTTCTGCCACGTCAAATAAATAAATGACACAATGGAAAAAACCTAAAACAAGTAGTCCTATTTCAAACCACATTTACTTACTAGTAAAATTTCTTTGTTATGACACTTTCTCCGGTTTATAGGACCTCTCTCATATTCTATCTTGTCATATCTAAACTCATAGTCATGTATGTCCTCTAACCATCTCATAACGGTTTCCAAACCACTTTTATCGGATGTAAAGTAAAAGCATGGATGGTTATGTAAAACGTCTAAAGTTTCTAAAGAGTCTCTCAAAGTCCAGTCTACTTGGTATTGAAAATCGCATGTGTTATAGAACGGCGGGTCCACTATAAAGAAAACATTTTCCTTGTCTTTATATTTTTCATACAACTCTGTCCAACGACATCTCACAAACTCTATACCCTCAATATATTTTTCTATGTCCTCTTTGAAAACATTTGTATAGTTAAGATATAAAACGTTTGACATAAGTGTTTCAATGTCATGAACTCTTATAGAACCACTATATAATAGTCTAGCAGATATACTATCCCAGTCTATATATTCTGCTTTTTTCAAAACCTCTCTCACAATATTTTTCTTATCTAATGGTATACGTTCCATCTTACCTATAGGTATCTTTTCTTTTAACGCTTTCAATATATTGTTTGTGTCTGGTATATGTTTGAGACGGTCCATATAGTTGTCGAAGTCATTGCATATAATCTTTGAGTCTGGGAATATTGTATGGCACAAATGGGATATATAGAAACTTCCACCGAACAAATCTACAAATGTTAGACCATTCGGTAGTTTCTTAAGTTCTCTCAATAGAATATCTTTACATTTACTCTTATTTCCAAAGAATGGTAACGGTGGTTTTGTAAAATTCATTTATATATAATAATAAAAATGTTTTTTTCCTGAAAAGTGACAGAAAAGTGACAAAACATGAAAACATATATAATTTGTGAAAAGCGACACATTATATAATGTTTTCGACCCAGAAGAAGGCTTCTCAAAGTATACTTCCTTGGAACGCCTGTAACTTTTCCTGTAGCGACGATAGACCCTTACTTGTCCGGACAAAGTTATACTAAACATCTTCAGGGCTAGAAGGGGCGCAGCCCCTGGAAGCCCCACATACCTGACCTCGTTTTCGTCTTTAAAAATCTAATAAAAACTTCCAAAATCTAATAAACAAATGTGAATAAAGATATGTTAAAATTATCGAGATTTATTTTTTGAGTTTTGAATCTCCCAAATTTCCCATACAAACATATATTAATTTTATAAAATATAGAAATAAAATCAGATTCTACAATGCTTTTTGATATGTGTCCAGGTGTCCATTAAGCTGTTGAAGCAAACTCCTTTAACACATTAGCAAATGCTGAGGTCTAGGATACATTCATAAATATGGGTAAATTTGGAAGAATCAAATCAATAATCATCCCAAATTGAAGAAAGTGAGCTTTGTTACTACATTGAAGAGAGATGAAAGCCATTATTTTAATACATTTAATCATAATAACAATGGAGCGACATATACGAAATCAAATTTAAAAAGTGACAATTTCGATCACAAAATATGAATTTAACAATTACATCATTGCGTCTAGCAGGTAACATGCAAAGTCCTTTTTTATCTCGATCAATGATGTCTAATAGAGAGAAATTATCTTTTTTTAGCTCGAAATTTCATCATTTTACCAAACCATTTATGTATTCTCACAGTAGCTCGTTTTCTTCACAATTCAAACAAGTGTCATTCGAAAAATTCCAAAGTTCTGCAGTTGTTTTAGATCAAGGCATACTTGAAATGCAAACTTTTTATAATTTTACTTTTGGAGAAGTACAAGAAGACATGACATTTATAAGATGTACATTCAAAATGATATTAAATCCAGATAACAAGTACTCTGCTATATATATTAAGACGACAACTTCAAGCTCTTTCAATATTTACATCACAGAATGCGCGTTTGCTCAAGTTTTTGGATCAGTATGGGGACCAATACTTTTCAGTGGAAGCACAGGTTACATTAATAAGACTTGCTTTACTGTTTGCTACGGAGGAGATAAAGCTCAATCATATGTTTTGAAATGCTCACAAATGGCGAACTGTACAGAGATTGTACGACATGCAACATCACCTAAGAAGATACCCGGTCAATCCCATGCCGACCAACTAGAAGGAGAAAGAGTTTGCGAAACATACCTCAACCAAAGCTTCTCAGGCGTCAGTTCCCGTGCTGCATGTGTTGCAATTGGTAGAAATGCCAGGTATTTGAACTTCCAATACGTCGCTTTCGTTAATATTTCTGGAATGAATTTTATGGTTATAGATTGTGACAATTTAAAGGAATATAAGATAGCGTATGGCTATATGTACAAGTGTATCTATCATGTGGAGTCATCATCTCTTCTAGAATGTCATTTCAGACTTAAATTTGAAAATTGGGATTTTATTCAAACGAAAATGTTGTTTGTAGTCATTAGTCAGTTCGGAACAACACGTTCTGTTGATGGCATGCAGTTCATAAACTGTAGGACCGACGTTCCAAAGCAAAAACAAATAATTCCAAATGACAAATGGAATTTTTCAAATTTCACAATAATTAGTCGTCAAAAATACATTGATTACGGACCAGATTTCGATGAGTGGCTCTGCCAAACAGATGTTCCTCCTTCTCCGGCTCCTACACCAGAGAGATCTCCTCTTCCAACACACACAGCAACAGCAATGCCTTTAATGACTGTTCCCGTGTTCGAAGTGAAGCAACAGGACGCTCCGGAACTGATTGACCCCGACCATATGCCTGAGAACAACAAAGGATTTACAACAGCTGATTATATACAAATCGCTGGTTTAGTTGTTTTGATAATTATCACTGGAATTGTTTTCTTTTTGGCAATGAAGAAGAAAAAGAAACAGGCTCCTAACCCTGATGAAGAGGAACAACTCTTGCAATACTAAATTTGTTTGATTTTGTTTATTTTATGTAATTTTTTATTAGTTAATAAAGTTTTTTTTGTTCATTTAATTTTCCTCATTCTAATTCTATCTAAAACCATATATATTCTCTGATTTCTGAAATAATTTTTAATTTAAAGTTGAATTGAAACGATTTTGATATACATCTTAAGAACTCCTCATGCCAGAGAAGTCGTAAATGTAATATTAATATATAAGAAGTTAAAATTGTTATGGATTATCTGAAACATATCTTATTGAGGCAATTTTATAATGAGAAATCTATATGACCTGCTCAGTTGATATTAAAAATGCCTGTTCGCGCTTGATAGCTCAAACAATTGAAATAAATGAAATTTCAGATCCATATTAAAGCCTGAGAATTAAAATATGTTCATATTTATGGATTGTGAGCCGAAATCTCATTAAAGACGCATATAAATATGATGGGGTCACAAATCAAATCGAATTTGTAAACTTCACAATTAAAAATCTACGATTGAATTGATTTTACGGTTTTGGACCCTTTCGCGAATGAATCGCGTTCCAAGGTCAGCATCACAACTATTTTCATCCAAAAAGCAGCAACCAAGGCCAGGAGGTAATAAGCAAAGAGAGGAAAAACCAGTGCATCAAATTACCGTTGAGCCGAGGAAGAAACCGCAAACTCCGTTAACTCCTTTTGATATACAAAATAGTTACAAGCCTACAAAGCAATTCACCATTACAAGAAGTATCAGCAAATCAATTTCATTCTCTAAAAACGGCGTAGATCTTAATATCACGCCATCTGTTTCTGAGTCTGACTTAGCACAATCCATTCCTCTTTCACCAAGTCTCGAGTTCCCTGTCAAAGACTACTATACAGTTGAAGATATGCTCGCAATGAAACCCGCAAATTACACGACTAAGCTTATGACACCAGGATTTATCATGTTACTTCATCTTAAGAGCATAAAGACGAATCAGAACCAGTCTGATCAGATGCCTAAGAAGAAGAAACCACAGCGTCCGAAGCAACCACTCACAGGTCAACCAAAACTTCTTGCGCATGATGGTGATAGGTTCATAAGCTCCGCTGCAGCAAAAAATGTCGGTTTGTACGATGAAAAATCACCAGAAGCATTGAGTGCAGCAGCACAAAGAATATTGAACCGTTTGAACTCAAGAAATATAGAAAAAAGCGTCATAGATGTTAAGAATCTCAATATTGGCTACGAAGCAGTCATCGGATTGCTTCTAGATCGAGCAACAATGGATACAGAATTTCCAGAAAGAAATCTTCAACTCACGAACTTCATTACATACGCAATTGTCTACGCAAATGAGTCTCCTGGCTTCGGAGAGCTCCTAATTAGCATGAGCTACGATGCAGCTAACAAATTAATCGGAGAATCCCAAACAGTGCCTATTGCTTCATTCCAATGCATCGCTGTATGGCTATCAGCTCTCTTCAATGCAGGAATGGGCCCTGAGCATGCTCTTTATCAATTTTTCAACGATGTTATGAGAAATGAACCAAGAGAGCGTGCAATTGATGTAATAAGGTGCGGAATGTACATTTGTGGAAAGAAAGTTGGTCCAAACTTTGAAATTTTCTATAAATTCCTCAAAGATCATCCTTCTCATTTTGGATACAAGAGATTCCTCGTCGAAGAGCTCTTCAACCTCAAAGATAACAAATGGGATAGACGTGCCCTCGATCCAAAGGTCCAAACAACAGGTTTACGAATCGAATTTGGCAAAAAACAAGAAGAAGAGCAGAAAGAGGATCCACATGATGTTGATGATGCTGAAACACTCGAACAAGAGTTCAGAAGCTGGTTGAATGAAGAAGATATCCAATTTACGAAGTTCAGACCGGAACAAATCATCAGATTAACACTTAGACAGCTTCCAAGGCACTTTAAAGACGCCAATGACTTTGTACAATACGCGGCATCATGTCTTTCCAACATTTCTAAGGATTCTGGCCGACTTACGGATATCATCCGAGATTATTTCGATGTTTACCAAGAGAACGTTCGTGTTGAAGAGAGTCCTGGCCTTTGGACCCTGTTCTTCATGCAGTTAAGCGCATATATGGTTGAAGGATTAGTCAAATTCTCATTCATACACGAAATGATCATGAAAGCCATGGAATCCGAACATCCACCACGTATGAAGAACGCCGTGTTCAAGATTGCTGAGATTACAGGTGCTCCATTAGAAAATGTCCTAAATCTTATGGATGCGATCCCAGAAACAGTTAAATCTGATCCAGAATTCATACAAGGATGTGTTGCTCTTGCTGAATACACAGTTCCAGAAGGAATTGACGAGATTGAGGCAGGAAAATCTGGAATTGTTCAGGCAGGTGTCATAATAAGAGACGCCGTTGTTGCAGCACTTCAGGATGAAGTTGAAGATCCTTTGACTTTCTTGGAATCAAAGAAGAACGTCTTTAGAGGATTGTTTGAAGTATACGGAAGAAATATGATAAATGTCGCAAAACATGTTGTAGATTTGTATCAGTTCCCAACAGAGAGACGAGAACAACTCGTTTCTGGTATAGAGAAAAATATATTTGAAGCTGAATAACATTTTTTTTAATAAAAAAAATTATTTTATCAAAAATTTATTTGAGAATTATTTTATTGTCGTCTAAAAAAAAAAGAGATTTTCCAAGCAAGTTTTGATAACCAAACAAAAGAGAACATCAATGCTATCTATGTGTATCGTGCGCAAACACACATTATATATGGAGTAGCTCTTTATCTGGATAAAAATTATATAATTAGAAAATTCGCATTGTCGTCTGAAAAACTTCCGACGACAATAATAATACCCCATTTATTTCTTTATTGAACAATTTTATAAGATAAAAGATCTTTAACATACGAAATCTCTTTGTTCTTTTCAATGATTTGCTGAAATGAATCTTCCTTTCTTCCATCTTTATGCATTAGCCATTGAAACAAAGTTTAAAAAAAATATATGGAATTACTGCTTTTCATTTTGCAACAAGAAAAAAAGAGATTGAAATTGCTGATGCCATTGAGAAAAATTACTTTAATGAAAATCTTTTTTTTTCTTAACAACAATTGATAGCCTTAAAGAAACAATGCCACTTCAAATGCAATTGTATATGGTGTAAAACCCTCCAATTCTAATACCGGAAAATATGAAAGGTTTTGCACCATTAACAATTGCAACACAAATGGACTCATAAGAAGTTCTAAAACTTCTTAATTCCTAATAGACAAATGCTATTGTATATGACTTTTTATCTTAGAAGAAAGGAGTAAAACTTCTTCGATATCAATGTGAAAAATATCAACACCTCATCATTTTGTAGCATATATGATGTATATACATCACTGTGTAAAAGAAATAAAGATAAAACATTCTTAAATATCTAGACAATTTAAACAAAAACAAACATTATGCGGTTGAACTTCCAATAATTCTTTCAATTGTACGAATAGTTTCAATTCCTTGTTCTGATCCAGTGTTGAGGGTTTCAGCAATTGTTCTGATATCTTTATTAACTGTTGATGAGATCTCAAGCAACTGATCAAGAATTTGTTCATCAGTCTGTCCACTTGTATCTATTCTAAAACAAAGAAGACCTCGAGTATCAACAATTGCTTGTTGAATGGAATGAACAGCTTTGAACAGATCTTCATTATCTGCAGGGAATAAACTTCTTAGATTTGTTATAAACCCATTAAATTGGGCTTTAAATCTCAAGTAATCTGTGATTTTTGATGGATCTCGGGAGAGCATTGCCAAACTTGGAACAATTATGGCAAAAACTAAATGGTCTTTGATAACTTTGACCAAAGACATAATTTTTGAGATGAATCTGAATGATTGTGTCTTCTTTTTCATGATAACCCATAAATCTTTGAGAGATTCATCTGTTATTGATAAGGAATATAAGAAATGGGTTAGATCTGAGATGAATTGCTGATGTTCTTGGGTTACAACCATGTCGAGAGGAGGTTGTAAATTACATTTAAGTGTAAACTTTGGCCATTTCAGTTCTGGAACTATCTTTACCTGGAATCCAAGCTTCTTTATAACGAAATCAATGTTGTAAGCTGTGGCATTAGGTAACAATAGACGACAAGAAATAATTGAGGAGTAATCTGAACGTTTTGTAAATAAAAGTGATAAGGAATCGTAATATTTTGGCCATTGCTGCTGTAATCTCTGAGCAAGAAGAGCTGACATCACATGAGAAACAACATTGATCCATTGCTCCATTCTATCGAGACCAGGAGGATCGGTCTTATCGAAAAGATCAGGACAGTCTGATGTAACGTTAACAATAAGTAGTAGCAAATCGGAATTTCGTTTATCAAGGAAATCAGCTGATTCTGTGCTTGAATATATGATTCTATTATCTTTAAACTCAAATATATCAGGCAATTTTTGATGAAAATATAAGTATCCGTCAAGTTGAGCAATCGCAACTTGATGTAACGAATGTTCTATAACGCCGAGCTTTTTATCTATTGGTGGTGGCGAAGTAACTACATTCTCGTGTATTTTGTTGAGCATTTGCAGTGGTTTTAATGAAATTAATGGTTGAAAAATTTTATTAATGTATTTGAGCTCGTGTTGGAATGGTTCAAGATGTGCTGTCAAAGCAGTTATTGTTGTTAATAAATCATCGCATATTTGAGTATCTGCTTCTAAGATAGATGTACGGTATGAATCTAAATAACTATCTACTGAATCTAATATTGCTTGTCTATATGGATTTTCTGTTTGTTCTTCTGTCGCTTCTTCGAGTCTTTTAAATATTTTGCCTAGTTCTGCAATTTTGGCAATCAAAGCACCAGATCCAGGCGGAAGGAGTTTTAAATCGATTGCTGATATGCCTGTTTCATCTGTTCCCCAATTTAAATCACTCTCGATTCCAAGGCCTTCAAGTAAAATCTCTCTAAGAAGGAAAGTCATTGATAATTAAAAATTCGAAAAAGTGAACGTTTAAAAATTCAAATTAACTTAGCATGGATGATTTTCATTAGATGACTAATGAAAAATAAATGTTTAGAGCAAATCTAAAAGAATGAAAGTTCCCTGGGTTTTGTTACGCAGTTTGGGAGAAATTCTAAAAATTTTACGTTGCGACTTTTCAAAAACAATTTATTGGATGAGCCAAGGTCTTATTCTTGATATCGATCACATTGCGAACAATATTCAAAAATATATCGATCAAGATAATTTTTATGATGTGATTGATTCAGATATTATCCCTCAAGTTTTCGAGAAAACAAATCTTAACTCAAACGATTTCAGAATACTTCTTTCTCAAGGCAAATCAAAGTATAGTACAACTATGCTTTATAAGTTTGCTCGTAAATGCAATGTTTTCATTAATTCATTCCAAGATGCGATTAATGTCCTTCAAATCTACAACAATCTTTTTAAACTCAAATCATCACGCTCATTAATTGATTACTTTGAGAAATTCAATGGAGAAAATCAATCCGATTCCAAAGAAATGAGGGAATTAAAAAACAAGATTCAAAACCTCGAATCAAAGTTGTTTGTTATGGAAAAAGAAATCAATGAGTACAGAATGAAAGAAAATCAACACAAAAATGAATTTGCAGAGATTTCTGAATTGCGTTCAAATTCAGATTTTGATTCAGTTTACAATTTCCTTAAACAACTTTCAGATCAAGGTGATAAACTGAAAATGTCCATTTCATGTGCAGTTGGATTAAGCGAAAAGAGGAATTTAGAAGAATGTACTCCACTTCTATTAGCATGTATTAAAGGAGATCTTCAATTAACAAAATCTCTTATTGAAGGAGGCTGTGAAAGAAATTCAATTGAAACAAATGGAAATAATTGTTTACTTCTAGCATCATTCTATGGACATCTTGAAATTGTAAAATATTTAATTAATATTGGTTATGATAAGGATTGGTGCAATAAAACTAATGGATTTAATGCAATTATTTTTGCATCACAAGAAGGTCGACTTGAAACAGTTAAATACTTGCAAAGTATTGGCTGTGATGTCAACTATAAACCATTTACTAGTGCAAGTTGTATTTATCTTGCATCATATAATGGTCATCTTGAAACAGTTAAATATCTTTTATCAGTTGGAGCAAATCCTAATGAGAAATTGTATAATGGATTTTCTCCATTAATTGTTGCTTCGTCTTTTGGTCATCTTGAAGTGGTTAAATGTCTTATTCAATGTGGATGTAATAAAAATGATAAAACAAATTGTAATCAATCTGCACTTCATTGTGCAGCAAAGAATGGCCATTTTGAAGTTGTTGAATATTTAGTTTCAATTTATGTCAATCTTAATGACATAGACAGTGATGAAAAGACAGCACTTGATTACGCAACAAAAAGGCAATACGAGAATGACAACTACAGAAAGATTGTCAATCTTCTAAATCGATCTGGTGCGCAATATTTTTATCAATAAGAACATATTCAATTTGAAGAATGAGAAGCTTCTTATGTTGGAACATTATATTTTTGCACCATGTGAAAGAAGAACTTCGACTGTTTCTTTAGAAATATGTTCTGATGCAATATGAAGAGCGGTTTCTCCATCCTCATCTTTTTCATCGATATTTGCACCATGTGAAATAAGAAGTTCGGCTGTTTCTTTACAATTTTCTTTTGCTGCAGTATGAAGAGCGGTCTTTCCAAAATTATCTTTTTCATTAATATTTATACCATGTGAAATAAGAAGTTCGGCTGTTCCTTTACTATCATGATATGCTGTATAATGAAGAGCTGTTTCTCCATTATTATCTTTTTCATTTATATTTGCACCATGTGAAAGAAAAAGTTCGGCTGTTTCTATACAATTCCAATGTGATGCCATATGAAGAGCTGTTTGTCCTTCATTATATTTTTTATTTATATTTGCACCATGTGAAAGAAGAACTTCGGCTGTTTCTTTAGAATTATATTCTGATGCATGATATAGAGCGTCTACTCCATATTTATCTTTTTCATCGATATTTGCACCATGAGAAAGAAGAAACTCAGCTGTCTCTTTATAATTTTTCTGTGCAGCAATATGAAGAGCGGTTCGTCCATCAACTTTATCATTGATATCGGCGCCAAGTGATAGGAAATATTCGCAAAGGGATGGTATGTAAAGCAATGCAGAATAGTAAAAACAATTGTTAATATCATTAGTTTGATCAAAATAAACTAAAAGGGATTCAAGATTATTATACTCCCAACATAATGACAAATTGATCTCTATATTGTGCTCATTCATCAAGAATGTAACAAAATCAATGTTGTGTGAAATAATTGCATATTTCATGCAATATTTATTTGGTTCTTGATATTTCAAACATTCGCTCATGATCTCTTGATTTCCTCCTAAAAACGAAAATCTCAGACATGTTTCAGTTATTTTTGAGTTAAATTTCGTTCTTAATAACTTGAAACAATCAACTGCTCCATGGTAACAACATAATTCAAGTAATGAATATCCTTTCTTAAAGTGTGGATATAATATACTGATAAGTCTTTCGTCTTTATCAAATTCTCCTATTTCCGTGGATTGGATGAATCTTTCTAAGTCGTTATGCATAATTGCTCTGTAAATTGTATTTTCTGAATGAATTTCGAGATTTTCTGAGTTAAATTCTTCGAAATCATCATATTTGTCTAATTTAATTCCATATTCTTTATAAAACAAGAAGTTAGAAATAGTTAGAATATTGATGACCTCTTTGACATGATATTCATCAGATATGAGTTTGGCAAGAGATAAATATGACTTTGTATAGCGATTATTATACGGGATAATATTTAAAATATCTCCCATAATCCTTTTTGGTGGGTATTTCTTTGAATCAATCAATTCTGTTTTGATCAGTTTGTAATTTGAGTTTAAATCTTCTTCATTTTCCGTTTTTAACTGATACAATGCATGATATAAATCGGTGTGGTATTTCCATATGCTTCGCAAAGTGCTGTATTTATTTTGGTGAGTGTCTTGATCCGACATTAAAAAAATGTTCTAGTCAAAATTTTGAAAATATTTAAAAAAATTCTATAAAGAATTAATAAAAAATAAAAGTATAGATAATCTTTATTCGATTAATTACATTAATGTGCCTTCGTCACCTTCAGAGATACGAACAATTTCCATGAACACCTTTTCAAGAGATGAAGATGAGCAAGTGTAGTATGAGTAACCATTACCATTTCTCTTACCCTTTTCCATCTTCTTGAAGAGCTTACCTAACTCGATTGATGTAGCAGGAACGTTGTAAATTCTTGCAACTGGACGATTGATAGAAAGAACAGCTTGTGGAATATTCTCCTGGAAGAACTTATCAACAAGCTCGCCTGTCTTATCTGTTTCGTCGTTAAGCTGCATATCAACCTTGTAATCTGTACCGAACTTAGACTGAAGATACTGTGGAGAACCAACTGTATAAACGTTACCCTTAATCATGATAGAGATGTTATCGCAAAGAGCTTCAGCTTCAGAAAGTAAGTGTGTGCAAAGCATGAATGTCTTCTGGCCTCTGTAGTACAAAATCATTTCGTGAACCTGTCTTCTAGAAACTGGATCCAATGTAGCTGTTGGTTCATCGAGAAGAATGATCTTAGCACGACCAAGGAAGGACAAAGCAATAGCAAGTTTTCTAACATCACCTTCAGAAAGTTCTCTAATTGGAGTATCAGCGAATGACTCTAATTCGAGAAGCTGAAGTAATCTCTGGCTGTTTCTAGCTTCGTGTTCTGGACTCATTCTCTGGAGTAATGAGTAGAAGTGGAAGTGCTCCTTGATTGTCATATCCATGCAAAGGTGTGTGTTGAACTGTGGGCAGACGGCCAATAATGATGGATCGTTTTCGACCATAATATCCTTACCGTTAATTTCGATTGTACCATCAGATGGTGGTAAGAGAGATGTGATCATGTTGATAAGTGTTGTCTTACCAGCACCGTTAGCACCTAAGAAACCGAAGAGGGATCCCTTCTTGACACCAAGAGAAACCTTGTTAACAGCTGGAATAGGCTTGCCTTCTGTATTGAAGAACAATCTGGAAACATTGTGAATTCTGACAGCGTAGTCTGTTGTGTGTTCAACTTCATCTTCCATATCGTGGGCTTCCTGTGTAACTGGGTGTTTCTTCTTCTGTTCATCGAAGAAGTCATGATAGTCACCGAAGTTGGACTTAGCAGCCTTTCTCTGAAGATAAATTCTCCATTTCTCAATGAATGTAAGGATACCACCATAAAGAACGATATCAATGAAGACATAGAGGGAGTATGGTTGAGCAGATGATGAGCTCTTGAAGTAGTACTTAAGGCCTTCTGTGTTGTAGTTGTAGTAGATGAAAACTTGTTGCATGTAGCCTTCCATAAGAAGTGGTGGGAAGAGACCGTAGATCCAGCCGCACCAGTCTGTCTTCTTGATTGAACTGAGAGGATCGTTGAAATCGAGTGTAACAAGTGTGACAATGATTGGGATAATAAGGAGAATGATGTTAACAATGAAAGCGTTTCTTGCAGCAGAATCGGCGTTTGTGAAGAGGAATGAAAGAACATAAATGTAAAGGATCATTGATGGACCGCAGATCCAGATGATGTAGTATGATTGGCCGAGGTTTTTTGAGAAGTTTGGAATGCTGCAGACAACGAACAAAAGCCAAACTAATGTAACTTCGATTGTCCAGATGATGAAATCGAAAATGAATGTGACAACCCAGTATGGAAGGATTTCAAGAGAGCAGGAAACCATATATGCTCTGATTGGGCCTTGGATATCGAGAATTGGTGTAATGATAACTGTTGTAATGATGGATGTTAAACCAGCGGCAATAAGAAGTGGAGCAACGACGGAGAAAACGATATCACGGCCTTGGCCAGCCAAAAGAGAGTAGATAATATTGAAGTTAGCATGTGGATTAAAACCATAGAGTGAGTAGTTTCCCAAGAGATATCCCTTCATTTCAGCCATAAATGGAAGATCCCAAGCTGCTGGTACTGTTGGTGTTGTAAGCATGGCGTATTCAAGTCTGTAGATGTTAACATAGGAGATAAGTGACTGGTTTGAGAACAAAAGTGTGTTGATACTCATTGACATTGTATCATTCCAAAGCATTGTCAAGTTGTTGCCACCCTGAGGGTTGAATTCTTCTGGGAGACCAATACCAAGAGCAACAAATATGCCTTCCTCTCTGCATTTTGATGTGAACTTGTTAGCATCTTCAATGTTGTCAAAGAGGTGTATAACAGGATCGTGGCCAGTATCATTCTTAAAGATTTCTGTAAGAACGTTGATATATTTCTGTTGGAACGGCTTATTCGTAAAGTTATTCTTATAATCTGATGCAATAACAGCTAAATCTATGGCTTCGAATGGGTAAGCTGTGAAGTTGTATTTAATAAATTGATCTTCGACGATGGAATCCATAAGAACTTTAACGATAATAGCTAAGCAAGAAACGACCAAAGTAACAATGATGTTTGAGATAACAGAAACGAGGGATCTCTTGACGCCAATCCATCTTCTGTAGAACATAGCCTTGAATTGGGCACCAGCTGGTGAGTTCTTCTTATCATTTTCTCTTTCTTGCTCTTCATCCATTTCTGGATTAGCAGCGATAATGTCTGTTGTTCTTCTTTGTACTCTAGATGATCTTGGTGTTTCACTTGCTCTTGGTGTAGCAACTGGAGCTGGTTTTTCTTCCTTTGGAGCTTCTGTAGCAGCTGGAGCTGGTGGTGGGGCAGGAGCTGGAGTTGCGTCTTGAGCTTGTTCTGGAGTAGTAGTTTGTGGCTCTGGGTTCGGGCTAGGTGTTCCTGTAGGTACTACAGGAATGTCGGACGCTTCGGAGTCAGACATTTATTTATTTATGATTATGTTTGAATTAGCGGAAATTGAGAACGAAAAATTTTATTCAATCCTCTCAATTTCATCGCATAAGGCTAAAATAGTTCTCAAAAGGCTACACAGAATTGTAGATCATCTTCATGAAAATAAGCAAAAATTGGATATATTATGCATATAGAGCAATAGTTTCGAAAAAATTTTTAATTGCTCTGAAAATGATCGCCATTCAAATCGATCGCTAAGTTCAATGGGTTCTGAATATGTTGGGATAAATAGATAAAATAATATGAATTGCATTCATATATAGTCTAATTATCCAATATATTTTTTTCGAGTTACAAGTTAATCAAAAAATTGAGACCATTTACGATGAAAAATTGTGAAGATGAACTTTACTTGCTAAAAATTTGAGCAATATTTATATTCTAAAACAAGGTTTATTGCATTTTACAAAACATTCTTCAACAAATCTTGATTCGCAACTAATTTTAGCTATATGGCAACTGTTCCAATAGCAATCACATAAAAATGCTCCCATTTAAAAGATTTTTTGCTTTATATTTTGATTTTGGAGAAATACCTTTCATCTGCAGTCTCAAACTGCTGTAAATTAAAGCTGACTTGCCAAAGCCTGTTTTCGTTGGTTCTTGTTCACAGAAACTAACGCCTGAACAAACTGCAAAGCAATGGGCTTAATTATTTAAAAATCGCAAACTTTGAAAAATTGACAATATTTCAAAACGCAAATAAAATGATAAATACTTGCTGAAAATGACTTATTTATTTTCTAAAATCCGACCATGAAATTTGATTGAAACAATTGAGGAAAAAATGCGAGAAATCATTTATAAATATCAGAAGACTGATATTTTCTCAAGAAACTGATTTATGATTTGACAACAATCCAATAATTCCGAAAAATTGCCGCAAAAAACTGACTCTTTAATCCCATTAATATTTGCATTGATAAATATATTAGATCTATAGACTTTTTCTTGTTTTTGGTGTTTTACACTCTTCTCTCAATATTGCAACAATAAATGTTTGGCCTTACAATGAAGCACACAACTAGAACTTATAGTTCTAGCGTAATACAATTTATAAAAAGTATGCATTCAGCTTAATATAATCAATTTTTTCTGGAAATTACACCATAGTATATGAAATGAATCGTTAACTATTGTATTAATGAAATACATCCTATTTCAAAGTAATGAGCAGCTCATCGAGCAATAATTTTTAATCTGAAAATTTTTGTTGGTATCTTCAACGGATGCTAAGTATAAGTTATAAAAGACTAAAATTTGAAATCACATGAGAAAAAAAAACTCTTCTCAAACATGATATTGAAAATGTTTGATGTATACCTTTGTTTTTATCAAAGAATAATCGTTCTATTATTCAACTGTAATAGCGATATTATTCAATGTGTCAAAATAATTATTTCAATAAGTAATCCTCGCATTTTCTTTGAATTTGCTAAGAATGACAGGCAAACCATTAAACCCGGATGTTGGAGTACTCTTGGAAATTTGATTTTGAAAATATATAATTATGAGTATCGAATCGAAAGATGAAACATTGTACTTCTATGGATTTCTAACTGTGACTTTGAATGCAAACATCATGTTAATGATGAAAATAAGTTTAAGTAATTTAAGGGTCCACTGTAAGGCCAAATAAGGTCTATCGTCGTCCCAAAAATATTGCTCGAGATGGTGTTTTACTAAGGCCCAAAACTTAAAAAAACACAAAAAAATTAACTTTACTCTTTTGAGATCCTTATCAGATATGCATCAATTTGATGCAGTATCGCAGTTCAAATCTGATTTTTTAATGTAGATGTACTCTAACATCCTTTAAAAAATGCAAAATGATATTAATTAAGCTTTTCATTTCTGTATCATACACGAAACAAAATTGTTCATTATACTAAAATTTATCAAAGTTTGATTAATGAAAAAATAATATCTAAATTTTTACATTGAGTCGGCTATTGATATGGTTAATATTAAATCTTGTAAAAATTGGCATTATCCAGAATAATACCCACTAAAATACACAATTTTTTTTTAAAAAATTTTATCAATTGTTATGGTATATCTTTATGATAATGAATAAAATGCTTATTTTTCATAAGTAAATACATAATTTATGCTTAAACACAAAAAATAACACGAAAATTTTTGGCCAACATATCTAAACTAAGGATAATGGTTTGAATATATAAACAATAATACTTTGTCCAGGGAATTAAATTTGTGCTATCCAATTGTCAATTCTTTGAATTTTTTTTAAATGCAAGATATCCCGGCATTAGCCTCAATAAATATATATATTATGCATCATAATATTAGTTTGTAATGGCATTAAAGCGAAATTCCTAATTTCTTCTCAATTAAATTCCTTGAAAAACATTGGAATTAATGATTAGAAATAGGTCAAAAAAATTCCTAATATAAAACTTATACTTAAGATAAAATTAAAATTCGAAAATATCTATTTTTCAAAACACGCATCCAAAAGCGAAAAAATTCGAAAAAATCATGTTCTTATAAAACTCACTGATTTTGCAATTTTTATGAGATTTGAAGTGATAGAATATATTACCATCTTATTGAAACATATGCTTCATTGTTGTATTCACATAATATTAATCAGAACACTAGGAAAAGTGTATTTTCGAAAAATGACGATAACGATTATTTGCAAATCGCCTCTCAATTTTGAGAGACTTTCAATTTTTACAGTGGACCCTTAAACAGATGATTTTATTCATGACACATAACAAGGAATTCCGAAGCACGAACCATGTCGTCAACAACATAATGGCTGAATTTTTCGATTGACTTTGTGATTGTTGGGATAGCAGACTTACCTGGGATCTTAATTTCACCGATCATATTCCTGATGGCCTTGTTTGAGTTAGAGTTAGTATACATATCTTGTGTACGGAGGCACTGCGAGCCTCCTTACCCATTATATGTGAATTTGACACTTTACAAAACCGTTAACGTATATTTTACAACACAAACACAAACACCAACTTAACCTTAAATATTTATAAAACCGCCAACCACTTCACCTCACTAACGTTTTCACAAACGACTTCACTACTGTAAAAAATAAACGTTCTCACTTACAAAAGTATTGCAACTCCTCCCATTGCTGTGCTTCACACAATACTTCATATTCTTCAGTATCGCTGCTGTCGCTCCAATCGTCAGAGTCAAAGTCACTGTCAAAATAAATGTTAGTAAGTTTTGACAAAGCTAATGAAACACGTTTACCGTTTGTATCGTATGCTTGTATAAACTTTCCATTCTTCATTCCTTCATAAACGCTCAAACTAACTTTACCCTTTCTCCCTCGTATCTGATAGAATGTATTTTCACGAGGAACGAAGAACAAATTCTTGAACTCATGACCGTTGTAGTTTGTTATCTCAATAGTTTTCGTCATTTATATAAAAATAAAATAACAAAAAATAAACTTAAAAATTAATGATATCACCACCCTCACACGTATGAAAACATAGCACAAAAATAAATTTAGGTGAAGTGGTGAGATCTCACCTCTTTTTTCACCTCTTTTTTCACCCTGTTGAATTCATTGCTTTATAACTCTCTTCCTTGGTTTCTTTTTAGTTGCTTTCTTCACGTCTGTCTCCAACTTGACTGTCTTTCTTCTTCGGCCGTAATGATACCAGTTACTTCCACCAGTCAATGGGTCAAATGGTCTTTCGTAAGGGTTTCCATACATTCCATAGGGACCATACGGAAGAACTACTGGTGGAGAAGAAACATTTTCTTTAGTTCCATCGACTCTATTTAAATGCATTGTTTCACCTTTCATCTGGTCATTAAAGTCTTTTGCGTGTTTTGCAAACTCATCGTCCTTTCCTAAAGCATTTTCTGACTCAGTCGCAACCAAATTGGATGCTTTATTTATGAGCCCTATTTTATTTAATCTTAACTTCTTTGCAATCCAGCCTCCAATCTTCCCTTTATTTGCATCTAATGTCTTCGAAACCCTTCCTCCACTCATTTTATTTACTGCGTCATAAGCTCCAAATGCTTTTGCTCCAAATGCTAATGCTTTTGTTCCCATTGCGCCTAAAGCTGCCCAAGCTACCATTTACACCATATTAAAATCATCTCTCTTCAATATTATCTAATAAAAGTTCTCGTTACTGGAGAAAGTCAATGAAACATAAGCGTTCTCACGGGCTTCGCCCTCACCACTTTGCGGTCTATCTAACTTCTTTCTTATCTCATCTATACGCTTCAAAATGTCTGAACAATTGCTAACATCTTCTACAACAGTTATTTCATCATGAATGACCTTCAAGAACAAGCTCATTTAATATGCTATTAAAATCATCTCAATAATGAGTCCATCCTTTCCATCTTTAGGTAGCACAACATCTTTCATTGAAGAAGGTTCGACAAGTCTTATGTTAAACTTACTGACAAAGTTTGTTATACTATAATGCTTCGGCGGCGAATACATGTAGTTTGAAAGACATAATATAGATTCTTCAGCAAATTCACTTATACTGGATTTTATAACAATGTTCTCACGAGACCAAATACCACCAATTGACAATCTTGTAAGCAATCCTGCTGAACCTTCTACTGTAAACGTCGATGGTAACATTCCACGAAGGTCATCTATTGACATCGTTGAGTCACTGTATTTAAATATTTTCTTAAAGCAATCGTCATTATCTAACCATGCAATAGCTTTGAAGTTTTCATTCGAATATACATCTGCTTCATTAAATGTAAAACCTGACTTCTTTGCAGAGACGACTTTAAAATCTATTGAGTTTGTTTCAAAATTATATGCTATGGTAACTTCTGAAGGTAATGGATGTCCTTCCGCAGTCAGTTGTTCTCTCACTACCATTTGAAGCTTTGTATTAAAAACTTTCATGTCATCTCCTGTATCTAAGTTCACATACACAGCAACAGGAAAACTATCTTGCTTCTTTGTTTCATCATTATATCTCAAAACATTAAAGTTCTTCAATAATATTGTTCTTCCTGCTGGAATACTTCGAACCTGTCTGATTTCAATAGCTTTCTCACCTCCTACATACTCTACCCAGTGTCTTGGATATTCATAAGTATACTGACTTTCTTGAATTTTGGTTGGTTTCATCATAACATGTTCATAGTATATCTTTATACTCTTGTCAGTTAGACTCGGTGCTATGTTCTGAATATTTCTGACTTGCATTTTTAATGGAGATAAATGAAGCATTTAATACATGACGTAGATGAAGACATGAATGAAACTACAGACAAACTTAACTCTTCTCTTATTCTTCCTTTCAGTAAGGACTATGAGTTCTGTTCAAATGGTGTTTATTTCTATTGTGGAAAGATGGGTTTAGGTAAGACATTTAACCTCATTCGTCATATACTCATAACAGAGCGTTTAGGTCAAGATTCATATTATGACCAAATCATTATATCAGCAACTTCAGACTCTATGGATTCAACAGCGAAAACATTTATGTCAAAAGTTCAAGCCTCTGTCGTTAAAGTTCCAGACAGTGAACTCATTGAATTTCTTCAACGTTACATTCGACGTAAGAGAAAATATTATGCCATCGTTGAATTTATACAGTCAGGAATGCAAAAGACTTCAGAAGAGATGGAAAGAATTATTGACAAACACCACTTACGTCAATACTCAGGAGTTTACGATATGAAACGACTTACAAACTACATTCTATCAAAACTTTCAAAATACCCCTTCAAAAAGTATCCTTCAAACACTCTGCTCGTTTGTGACGACTTCGCCGGAAAAGGTTTAGTGTCAAAACCAGACTCACCATTAGCTAACATCATTACTAAAGTCAGACATTACCATTTAACTGTAGCAATACTTATGCAAACATGGAGGTTTTTAGCTTTAAACATAAAACGTCTCATAACTGACTTCGTTATCTTTCAAGGTTTCTCACGCTATGACATTGAACTCATTTGGAAACAGTCAGGTATAACATTACCTTTTGAAGAAATTTGGGAAGCATATAAGTCTCTCATCTCTCCTCGTTCATACCTTGAGATTCATATCATGACTAATACCATTAAAGTCAAAAATATTCCATGGGAACGACCAACATTGTTTTAAAGTTTAACCTTCAATTGACTGATGGTAAACAAATTCCATGCATCTCTGTCGCCATTTCTGTTAATATTTTTGCTGTCATTCATATCATCCACTTCTCCATCCGTTAGCTTTTGAGGATATGCGTTAGAATAGCTGTTCTTAAATGAAGGCTTTTCACCTTTGAGAGCATAAACTCTATAACTTTCTGCATACTTTATGTTTGAACCTCCTGAGCCATCATTGACATAAATTTTTATAGGCTTCCACCCTTTGTTCATGTTCCTGCTTCTTCCCTTAGCTCTTTTGTTCAGTAGTTCTACATCTTTATACACAGCTCCTGTCTCAGTGAATTCAACAATATTTTCATTCGTTAGCTTTACATTCAAACCCTTGTCGAGTATATTGTTCATTTCATACATATAAAAGGTTTTTATTCTATATGAAATGAGAAGCAAATCCATCTTAGCTGGTGCCGTTAATGTTCCAATTGAACCAACATCAAATGTTGACTCGCGAACGACAAACAATATTGTCATAAAGAACTATAGTTCAGAGTGTTTGAAAGAACCAGAACCAGAGCTGAAATCTGTGAATTTAAACACAGCTTCAAACGCTAACGCTACATCAGATGTTAAGTTAGAGTATCCACCACTGGACCAAATTCTTTCAAGAGAAGCCAACGACAATCCTTACACAAATGTTCAAACAAATCCTTCAGATAACGTAGACCATTACCTTCTTCAGTTATACCAAACAATTTTACTCAAAGACGATAAGAAGCTTTTGACAAATCTTATAAGCAAGAACCAAATAATTCTAACAAAGGAGGACCTTGAAAATGTTATCTCACGAATAACAGGGAAACAATGTGTCATTGACTATCTCGACCCTGAAATCGAATGCTGTGGTCAAACTCCACTATTCATGAAAATAGGTAACATCCGCATCATTGAAACACCAGGAACTACAGGAGTTGAGTTTAAGTATAAATATTCGAACGAGTATACAAAACTATCTACTGACTATAAGCTTTGTTTGAAATATGTTTTAGTAAATTAAAGCAGTCAGGAGGGCTCTTTGAGCCCATCTTGGCGCTTTGCGCCGTCAGTCAAAAAAAATTTCAAGTTAGCAATTTGTAATATCTATCCAAAACTTCTTCAACAGTATCGAACTCATCTTCATAATGCAAACCTAATCTTATTGACTTGGTGCAGTTTTCACTAACACAATATTTTTCTGTTCTCTTGACTGACATAACTAACTCATTTGTTTCATCAAACAGCAACAACCAAAGTTCATGACCTAATACATAACATTCATACTTTATATTTTTAGCTCTGAGTTCTCTTGTAAGCTGTTGCATTTAATATTTTCTAAAAAGTCAACTTCAACAGTCATTCGCACTGGTGCCTTCAGTTCTACAGGCTCTCCTTGAAAGTCAACAAGTCTGAATTGCATGTCTTTCAAATTATGAGGACTAATGCGAACCCATTTACCTAAATGAGTTGCTATGACAGGAACGTTTGGAATGAACATTGAATTGACTGCATAACAGAAGGATTTATATTCTACTGAACCTTTACTATTAACTCCTGAAATGCCTGTGACATTAGCTATTTTAGACTCAATGTATAAACAATTACCATAACATACGTATGGAACAGATTTCATCTCAATCGTTTTGTCAACACTTTTCAAAGGAAATGTCATATGGTATGCACCCAAAAGAAGTTGTACTCTATGACTCATTCGTGTTATCTTAAACTCCTTCTCGCTGCTGAACTTCAATGTTCCCTCAGAAGAGAGTTCGACATCTATGTTGTCAATAGTTTCTTCATTTATGAGAGCATTTAACACTCCAGCAATTTTATCTATTCTATACCCAGCTCTGTTAGGAAATGTTATAACACTTCTTTTGTCATCTATTTCAATCTCCATGAAATCTGTTTCATCTGTTATGACAAAAGTTGCGATAGTATTGAAGTCAACAACTCTGAAAGCAAGCGCTTCATTCTGAAGACCTAAGTTTGTTTGTAGCTTTACTGTCCCGTATTCGTTTGGGTCTGTACTTTGCAAATAGAACAACATTTTATTCTCATTAAAATATGACTATTGCTGCATATGCGTATGAAACAAATGAAGCAAGAAGAGCACATGAACTAGTAAACGAAAACTCAACTTTAACCATTGAAGGCAATGATTTAGTCATTGACGATGGAAAGACTAAAAAAGTCATTGATTTCGATACTTTTAACACTTATGACCCATTCATTACAATAAGTAAAGTTCCTATCATAAATGATGGAACGGTACAATATATAAATTCTACAGTAGATGCCTCATTAGTGAAAGTATTAAATGTTCTCATTGAATTGTTAAAGAGCTTTCGATTTGACGACAACATTAAATGCCTAAAGAATTTAGTCATGAATGAGAAACAAATTCTCGGCGTTGCTGGTAGCAGTAATGATGTACACCTTATGACATTAGAATATTATAACGAACATAAAGATGAACTGAAAGGAGAGAAGGGTGACACTGGACCTCAAGGACCACAAGGAATACAAGGAATACAAGGACCTCAAGGCGAAAACGGTTTGGATGGTGAAGATGGAAAGGATGGAAAAACTGCTAAATCATGGATATGGAACCTTATAAATACTGGTTTAACAGCTGCTTCATATGGAGTTCTTCAATACCAAATCGGAAAGATATGGGCAGTACTTGGTGAAGAAGTTTTAGATGACGTTAAAAATGCTTTGAACTTCATTTCAAATGGTTCGGATACTATTAAAACTTTATCTGGTTGGATGCAAGAAACAAGGAGTCAAATAGATACTGTAAGACGTATAGCAAACAATGCACGTACGGGATTGGATACTTTACGAGAAGCACAAAATACACTAAAGGAAGCAAATGATATTCTTGGCTCAGTATCAGACATGCATGAAGATTGGCTTAAAGGTATTGACAAATCTTTAAAAAATCACAGTCAGTCTATTGCTGACTACAAGAAAAGTATAGATTTTTTACATAGTGCTATGGACGTACATGATGGAAGCATAAGGAACTTACTTAATGCTAACAATAACTTACCAGGAACTATTAAAGCATTTATAAAGTCCTTTGTAAAACCTGGTGCTCTAACATTTAGGTCTTTGAGAGCAAGAGCATTGAAGTCAAGAGATGCAGAAACTCCAACAGAACCTACAGAAGGAAACGAAACAACAGAAACTCCAGAAGAACCACCAAAACCAACAGCTAATGAAATATTGTTCGAATATTTTCCAAGGTACTCTGTTCTCATTGCATACATTCAAGAAATACTTAAGAAAGCAGACTTGACTTTAGGAGATGATGAAAGTTCTGTATATCTTTCGTTCCAGTTTCAAATAGCAGAACTTTTGAGACAGATATGCTTAATGTATGACAACATCTCTGATTTCACAAGATATGATGACGACCATGACCCGAACACGGTGAAGAAGAAGTTTTACAAACATCCATTAAGACAGGAAAGGTTTTAACTCAAAGTCTCATTATTGACACCAAAGATGGCGAAGTGGACGTTCTTCAAGAGCTGAAGAAAAATACTTTCGGGAGGTGGTGGTAGGCATGAACTTGAAATAAATGAGATAGAAGAGAAATTAGCCGAAAAAGCAGATAAAAACCATGTTCATTATATAACTTCAGACGAACAGATTATAACGGACTACCATGGATATTTAACACAGGATGAACAAATAAGCACTGAAGATGTTAATGAAAGAAGATATAAATTCATT